CTTGGTCTCCATGACCCAGTCCTTCATGACCGGCGTCGGATTGCCGGGACAGGCCTTCTTCGACTCCAGCCCTGTTTGGGTGGCCGGCTCGGATCGGCTCGCCGGCTCCTTCTGCGAACGAGCCCATCAGGGTCAGGTTTTCGGGTTGCAGACCATGGTGTGTATACCGTCCGCGAATGGAGTCGTCGAATTGGGGTCGAGTGAGGTGATTTTCCAGAGCTCCGATCTGATGAATAAGGTTAGGGTTTTGTTCAATTTCAACAATCTGGAGGTGGAAACCTGGCCAATCAGTGGTGTTGACCAAGGGGAGAACGACCCCTCTTCCCTTTGGATCACTGAGCCACCAAACGTCATTGAAATTAAGGATCCCCTCAATAATACAGTAGCGTCAGCTCCGGCTCCGGCTCCCGCTCCATCTCCATCTCCGGCTCCGAGTACCACAAATAGCCAGCAAGTTTCGAAAATTACGCACACAGAGAACCCCAAATCGAGCGTTGTAACTGGAACACCGAGCTCTGTTCCTTCCCAGAAGAGCCAACAGAGCCACCGACAGTCGCAGCCGGTTCACACCCAGAGCTTCTTCACCAGGGAATTAAACTTCTCTGAATTTGGGTACGATAACAGCAGTTTGAAAGACGGGAATTCGCATTCGCTGAAGCCGGAATCCGGCGAGATTCTGAATTTTGGGGAGAGTAAGAGGAGTTCTTACCCCAGCGCAGACAACTTAGCTTCGGGTAATTCCCAGTTTGCAGCTGATGAGAACAGGAAGAAGAGATCCCCCACTTCAAGGGGGAGTAACGAGGAGGGAATGCTTTCTTTCACTTCTGGCGTGATTGTTCCATCATCCGGGGCCGTGAAATCGAGCGGTTGCATTGGCGGCGACTCCGATCACTCGGACCTCGAAGCTTCAGTGATTCGTGAGGTTGAGAGTAGCAGAGTGGTGGAGCCGGAGAAACGGCCACGAAAGAGGGGCAGAAAGCCAGCAAATGGTAGAGAAGAACCACTGAATCACGTTGAAGCAGAGAGGCAGAGGAGAGAAAAGCTAAACCAAAGATTCTATGCTCTCCGTGCTGTGGTTCCTAATGTATCAAAAATGGACAAAGCTTCACTTCTTGGGGATGCAATCTCTTACATCAACGAGCTCAGAGGGAAGCTTCAAACTGCAGAATCGGACAAGGAGGAACTGGAGAAGCAATTGGAAGCAGTTAAGAAGTTGATGTCTAGTAAAGAATCTTCTTGCATATCAAGCTCAAGTGAACCCCCACCAGATCAAGACATAAAAGGATCAAACATCCATGGAAACAATAATGGTATCGAAACCGATATCGACGTGAAAATAATCAGTTGGGACGCGATGATCCGGATACAATCTAGTAAGAAAAACTACCCTGCCGCACGGCTGATGGCGGCTTTGGAGGACCTAGACTTGGATATCAACCACGCCAGCATTTCAGTTGTCAATGATCTAATGATCCAACAAGCCACTGTCAAAATGGGGAGTAGATTATACACTCAGGAGCAGCTAAGGATAGCTCTATTGTCGAAAATGGGCGCAACTCGGTAGCCATTGTTGTTTCCTTTCACTGCTATCATCTGAAGTAGTAGGCATTGGGTTAGAAGAGCTGGGGCAGATGTGTAGTAGAGGACGAGGGCGAGGATGAAGACGAGGAGGCTAATGGCGTAAGCTCTGTAATATAGTGTTCTACTTGTTCTTTGGTAGTGGTGTTTTAGTATTTATGTGATTCTGAGATGATTTACATGGTGGAGTTGAAGGCTAGGGATGGAGAAGAGAGAAGAAGATAGTGACTCCATTCATGTGAAAATAGTTTAAAAACTTTCTATTATTGTATATATACAAAGCCATAAATGTGAACCTGCAGGAAGTTTCTGCACTTGGGTAGTTGAATTATTTTCTTATGAGTACATGTTTGTAAGATGTGTAGTTTTATGTTATTCCTCTGTAAAACTCTCTATCCAGAATTTTCTCTTGCTGGATTGAAGGAACTGAATCTATTAGAAGAACAGCTCTACTAGTTGATCTCATCATCTTATGCTGTGAATTTGGGTACTGAACGTTGTAAGTGAATCCAACTTCTAAATTTTTTTGGATTCGATAAAGAGATGGTTTTGGAGCTCTTGCTTGTTTTGGAGCTTGTTGGTTTGGTTTGGTTTAGTTTAGATTTTTACTGTTTGGAAGAATGGGGAATGAACCGGACCGTTTCGATACTAAAAAACCATCGAACCACTGGGTTCTTATGGTTGTTTGAATTATTTGGGGGCATAACAGGGTTAGTTTAGGTTATTTTTGACAAAAATCAATGTTGAGATGATATGTGTAGATGAGTTTTTGATTTGGCTTGAAGCTTATTAGTAAAAATTGAACCACATAATAATACTAGAAAAACCAAATCTGGAGATGTAGAGTTTAGGTCATTTTCAACAAAATAATACCCATATTAAGAGTTTTGAAAATTTAATTGAGTTGACAAAAATGATGCTTAACTTCATTTGAAATTTGTCCAATTATTCTCACAATATGTTTGCTTATTTAAATGAAATAGATTTAAAAACATATACTTAATTCTCACCATTTTTTTAAGTATAACATGCGAACTCATCATTTTTGGATCGGACATCGGTGTTTTAATAAATTGTACTTAATTATTACGATTTAAAACAACAAATTTTGATTCATCTAGAACTCTGATCTAACAAATAAATAATATATTGATGCTAGCATAAAAAAAATTCATAAAAACAACAAGTTCACTAAATATTGAATCAATATTTCAACTTATGAATGCCAAAAAAAAATCGAATTTCTATATTTTTTAGTAGGGTAACATAAGCTGATAATTTAGAAAGTAATAAACAAGAATCTTATAATATCTCAAAAAATGGAAAATGGAAAATTTAAAACAATTAAATTAAAAAAGGAAAAAAAAGCGAAATATAGCGTAATAAATACGACTAAACTGCTAACTGAATAAAGTTTCTGTTGCGTTCATTGTTTGTTTTGTGTGTGGTATGTTTCACTTAAAGAATTCAATGTCAAATCATATAATAAAATAAATATTAAAAAGAAAAGAACCCAATAAAAAAGAAATATATATTTATTTTGTCTCCATTTCCCTTATGAACTCTTTTACGTTCAAGGAATTTAAAGGGCGGCCAAAGGCAAAGGCAAAAAGTGGGTGACAGAACATATTCAATTTCTTAATTTTTTAAAATCAAATGTCCAATGCGGATCCTCTTCACATTCCTTTCCAAATTATATAATAATCTTTTTATTTTTATGTATTATTTTTAAAAGTGCATATTACTAAAATTAGAAAAAACTATATATATATATATATATATATATATATATTTTGGTTTAACATGAATACTATATGCTTGAATTCTTTGAATGCTAAATTCAAGTTCATTGAAGGTGAAAGTAAAGCCATTTTACGCCACATCATATTCTTCAATAGTAACAAATGATTTTATACTTTTTAATTATTCACATTTTCCTCATTATTTGTATTTGGACATCATGATTTGCTTTCAAATGTTTTTTTTATAATAACCATCAATGTTTGGACAAATCTACAATATTAGGTTTAATAATATTATTATTATATTGTAAAATAATGAGGGTGAAGAATTGTTTGGGAACAATTGTTTTGTAATCTTCTTTTCATTTGAATTATTTTCTTTAAATATTAAAATGAGGAATAACTTATTATAACTTTTAAATAGCACATGGATCAAAACGAACCGTACAAAAATTAAAATAAACTAACATTGAAATTACAATCATTAAAATGAATATTTTAGAAATATATAGACCAAAATTAAAAGTAAAGAGACCAAACTAGTATTTTAACCTACTTTTTCTTTTATATAATTTAAAAATTCTAAATCTACTGTATAGTTTATAATTTTTATAATTTTATTACTTTAATTAAAATTTCTTATAAATTTGTTTTAATTTTATTTTCAAATTTCACAGGCCCTAATGCCATTAGGTGAACCCAAAATGAAGACTTTTAAATGTAGGCTTAAATAGGGAATAAATAAATCCTTAGAGAGCTTATAATAATTTGAGTATTAATTTTTCTCTAAAACACATTCATTGTATAGAACTTTTATATGACTTTTGGCAATTTTAACCTCAAAGCCACCAGACAAAAGTTGTCCGTTTCAGTAAAGATTTTTGTCTTAATTAATGATTAGTTTTGAAAAATAAAAAACAATCAAATTCTTAATGACTTACGGATCAATGAAATTTGATAATTGGGTAATATTAATTGTATGGGGACCGACTTTTTTTTCTTTTTTAATTTTTATTTGGGCAAACTTACGGAGACTGAATTTCAAACCAATTAAATGTTTTTTTCCAGAAACAAACAAAATTAATTGTTTTAATGTTAGTAGATCATCTTGATTAAATATGTGTTGGTTTCAACCGGGGAAGAATAGTCCAARCGAACATAATTRAGTAGTAATTGACATATATCTTCAACCAAGGATTGTAATTTCGATCTATCACCTCACATGTACCTCAGTACTAAAAAAAATATAGATTTATTTATATTATTGGCTTAATATAAGAGAATTACCCTCAATAAAAAAAAACATTCCATGCAAATAAAAAATGGAAAATTTTATAATTGGTCGTTATAATTTATAGCTATACTCTTCAATATATCTTATCATGTTTAATTTTAATTACGTATTTAGTAGTGGCTAAGTTAGGTACTTAAAGACAATATACTCTTCCTTATTAATCAAGTTAATCGTAATGAACATTTTTTGTTAAAACGAGCATAACTCAGTGATGATTGAATAGGTTGGGAGTTCGATCCCCCGCTCCTACATATTATACTTAAAAGAAATCGTGATGAACGTTTTTTATTTAAGTTATATTCTTAGTTATTTTCATAATATACATATTTAAAAATATTAGTTTAAGTCCTATTTTCAGCTATACAACTTTCGTTATATTTATTTTGATTTAGTACTTAAATTTTCAAATAGTTTATTTTAATCCACCGTTTTAAATTGTCTTATTTAATCCATAAATTTTCCGTAAACAACTATTTAAAAGTACTTATCGTTAATTTTTCATAAGCCAAAATAAATTTTAATCTATTTCAACACTCAAACACTTGATCTCTTACACTGTTTTAAACACATGTTATGTACGATTATCAGGTAAATGAACAAAAATGTATAATGTCAGCTATCAATTAAAGAATTTGTTAGGAATATAAAATACAGATTAAATGGTTTTTTTTATAAAAAGACAAAAATCAAAGGCTAAATTATCATTTTAGTCTCTAAATTTTATGTTCGTTAGATTCTTAAACTTTAAGAGGTGTCTAATACTTTCTTGAACTTTTAAAATGTCGTGTCTAATAGATTTCTAAATTTTCAATCTTGAACTTTCAATTTTGTATCGAATAATTTTAGATTTTTTTTTTCTTTTTTGGGATTTGAACCTTCGATACTGAGTGAAAAGAGTAGATGTATTTACTGTTGATTGACTATGTTCATGTTAGAACACAAAAATTGAAGGTTAAAAAACATTTAAATTTCGTGGACGTATCAAAACATGCAATACCTAAAAGGTTCGGGACCAAACAAAAACGCGGGAGCGGGAACATTTTACTAAAATGAGGACAGGCCTGATTAGCAATCAAAATGAGAATGAATGGTGAGATGATGAGATGAGGATGAAAAACTATTGTTGTAGTTAAAAGCTAAAATTAGAGTTGGTCAAATTAAAGCCCAAGTTCCCGGATTTCACAACTATAACAATTGTTAGGGAAACAAAAATCGGTTTGGTTGTTATTGTTCCAACCCAAAACCCAACTTTTTCTAGCTCTCATTATGCCCATCTTTATATTTCCATTTCCCCCTCATTGAGCCATCATTTCTTTCTGTGTCTCCCTAATATTCCACAAAACAAATTCCATAAAAACCTTACCTTGTTCTTCATCACTTCTAATTTGATTCATGAGCATGAATTGCCTAACATGCCAAGCCCTTCCAAGGACTCAGTCAGACAGGGAGAACAATAATAACAATTATTATGCCTATGAGACCTCTTCTAGTAGAGGTAGAGGTAAATCATGTTGCCTACACGTCACGCGGCGGTGGTCGGCCGAGCTGACTCCGACGTCGTACGGGCACATCAAAACCACCGCCGATAATGCTAGGGAAGGCTGCTCTTCGCGCAAGAGTTTTTCGGACAAGAAGGTGAAGGATCGCTATCTCCGCAGCGGCAGCATGAACGAGAAGGAGAACGAGCCGAGGTTGGTGAGGAGCTCCGGGATGAGGAGGGATTGGAGCTTTGAGGATTTGAGATTGAGAGATCAGAAGAAAGGGAGATTCCATTGAGGCTCGGCTCATCTTTCTCTCATTATTTGTTTGTAATTTGTTGGTGTTTATATTTCAAGTTAATGGTAAATTGAAGTTGAATAACGATGTTTAAATTTGAGGTGGGGAATGAGATTCATGAAATAATTCATACTGCATTTGCAAACCATTCATTATAAGACCTTTTGATTTGGGTCACCACACCCTTTTCCTTTCAATCATGTTTAAAGTAGTTCTCTGTCTTTTTTTCTCAGAACTATATACTCATATGGGCGAAATCTCTCATCAACCTAACCTTATATGACTAATGTTACAAAGTTAGCTTTAGAATATATTAGGATAATTGATTAAGTTGATAATGGTAACCTTTTTTATGTGGCTTACAAATTAGCTACAAAAATGGTGGAAAATAAGTCATTAGATATATAATGTTTTATCACATGGAGAACAATATATGATAACTGAGGTGTTTTTGAAAAAAATTAATTAACAATAGAAAGTTTGAAAATTCTCAGAAACTTTGATACTTAAATTAACATTCCTTAAAAGGGTATCAGTCTTGGCAAAGCTTATAGCAGTGGATAAATACATACAACCCAACAAAAGTGTTGGAGAAGCCAAAGCGAGTATAGCTCAGCATAATTGGTATATATCTCCAACGAAAAGGTTGCGAGTTTGATCTCCACTCCCACATGTTGTACTCAAAATAAATAAATAAATAGAAGGGTTGTAGGATAGAAATGTTCAACGTACAGTTCTATTAAAACTGAATTTGTATAGCTTGGAGTTGAAAATTTTTAATTTCTGTATTGAGAAGAAGAATCGACTCATTCCTGTCGAGCCAAAAATACGAGTTTAGAAAATGAGTATATGTATCATGGAACTGTACATTTAGCATAAAACAAATGAGTTCTAGAAACCTTTATTTATGTAGCCTGAGTTTATGCAACCTATTAACAAATTCTATAACCTATCCATGATACATAAACAATTGAACCATTTTTAAGATATCCTACTTTGGCCCTTTATGGTGATGAGACTTGTAAATTCTGCAAAAACAAACACCTGATCTGATTTAAATTAGGTACTTCTTGAATCAAGCAAAATGCCACAAACTAAAAAATGAAAAACTTTGTAAGATTAGTATATGGGATATCCATATTTAACAGGGATATACTCTAGGTTTCAACCTGTATATCTACATCTCAAGTATTCATACTCAATGAATCTAACATAGTCATCAAAACTTACAAATATTTGAAAATGCATCCGACCGCATACAACCCGACCAGAAGAATTCTAGTTCGTTTCTCTCCGCCAATCTATGCATACAAAAGTTGTTCAGCTTCATGTGAAAATTCTTCAAAGGGCCTCTTGCCGTTGATGGAACATTCGTTGCCATCGGTTGAACGTTTGTTGCAGAAATAACATCACACAGGCATCCCCAGCTACGGCGGTCAAATGATAACAATAATGTCGTTCATGTTATCAATAATTTTAGAATGCTAAAACACGTCGTTTCAATTCTTCTTCTTTCTCGCATCTGCTTTCCAATTTCTTCGACCAAGCACCTTTTTCGCTGTTTGAGAGATAAGCTGTTCAGCAGGTGGCTCCAAATGTGATTGCGTTTCTAACTGTGGTTCGGGATTGGAGGGTAAACACTGCATCTGACTCTCGCTGGTTGATGTTCTTGCAGCCATATTAGAACTATTACAAGAGGCTTCTAACCCCCTAGATACATGGACGCTCCTCGCGTCCTTCTTCCAATTTCGGGTACAATGCACCCGAGTCAAGGGATTGTTAGCAATGCCATTTGGTTGAAAATATGTTCCTGTTTGAGTGGGTTGTTTAACAGTTGAAGCCTTCTTTATTTCTTCTTCTAGACGTTTTCGGGCTCTATATCTACGTTGCCTTTCTCGATTCTTCAGTCGACGAGTCATGATGTCATTGTCTATTCTATAGTCTTTTCCTTGATCTACTAGCTTCATTGGAAAACTACCATCTGTCTCACAAACTTGCTTATTTTGCACATTTTCCATTTCGAGGAAGGTCGGGAACTGCATAAATGAAAAATATAAAAGAAGTCTAGATCCGAAGCAACAAAATGCTAATCACTGCTTCATGCCCATCTCGCAAACTTCAACTTTCAGAAACAATTCAGAAGATGACTTGCCAACAGTCTACAAACCTAATACACCAAAAGTCAAGGTTTAGTTGATATACAATGAACTCACATTTGGAGGATATAACATAAAGTGCAAGATCCAAATACAATAAATCATGTTCGTCTATCACTGGTATCGTCCAGCGGTTAGAGACATCTTCAGTCAAAATTAATTTAATACATAACACGAATATTCTCCAGTTTTTCATATTAGAAATCATATAGTTTCTCAATTCTTCCACCCCAAATAGCTTCACTAAAACCATCTCCCGATTCATTTCACTGTAATCAAATTACTCAGCTTTTCTATCTCATCTTAGTCATAGGAAATAAAGGAATGAAAGATGAGATGGGACACAAAACAATCCAAGGAATGATGAAAGAACTTGTATTTTGTAGAAAACTGATCAACTTTACAATTTATCAGATTTTAAAATGTCATAAAGCTCTGAAATAGTGAGACTATAAACAAATTTGAATTGTATGCAAATGTGAATTGTTGCCTGAAAACTATTCGATGAAAAAGCTGATTGCAGATTTAAGATAAAACACAATGAAAAAAGTAATCTCATTAACTACACTTTAAAATTCATCTATTAGCGAATTTGGGCTAACCAATTGCAGCATTCCAACCAGTTCAAAGGCACTATAACTAAATCGGTAAAAAGAGCAACTGTCAACAATTTTTCCTAAATCAAAGTATTACATGTTATTAAAACAAAATGTTTAACTTCACTTCACCATGCTGCATACTTCAATGCAGATGTTTCTGTTTCATAGTATCTTAGAAACTAAACAATATCAATTCTTTACAGCACTTGACATGTGCACATCAGTACAATGATCGACAAAGATACCTTAACACAATCTGATATATTTGCACTTAAAAGGACAAAGGTTATATTACAAGTTTGGTCTTTCAACTTTCAAAGTTGAGTCTAATAGGTCTCTAAATTTTAAAAGACATCTATTAGGTCCTTCAAAAGTCAAAGACCTATTAGATAGGTGTCCAGGAACCCATTAGACATCTTTTAAAGTTTAGAGATTTATTAGATACAATATTGAAAGTTTAGAAACCTATTAGATACTTTGTAAAATTCAAGGCCCTACTAAACACTTAAAAGTTCAGAGATTAAAGTTGTATTATTACCCTGAATAAATGACATGATTTAGATATATGTTAGCCAGGGAGGCTATTGTTCGGAAGCTTCTATTTCAAATGGGAAGAGTAGCCGTATAACTTGGAATCTAATTAGTTGCCAAAGATCAGTGCTGATGTAGGGAAAGGATAATGGATATTAGGGCATCAATCTGATCAATAACTTTGAGCCAGCTCTATAGCAACCTAAATACAACATCTTCCCCATTGCAACACCATACATACAGGGTATTTTGTTAAAAAGTTCATCGATTCGGAAGCTGGAATTTGGGGTTCATGCTTGGGATTAGAAAGCAGAAAAAGAACAACAGAACCAGGAAGATCCAGTAATAACCCAGAAGGGGAAATATGAAAAATCCAATAAATAAGCAAAAATATACATATATTGAATCTTGCGAGGGCTTGAGAGCGAGGAAAAGGAAAAAGAACTTGACCCAGAAATAAAAACTTGAGAAAAAGTTCAACCTGAAAATCATAAACTCGACATAACAAAAAAAGGGGTAAAATCTCAGAAATCAATAGAAATACCTTCGCAAATGAAGATCTGCACCCGTTGATAAAAACAATTCGCCGGGAAGAAAGACGAAGGCGAAAGCTATTTATAGGGAGGGAGACCAGAGGGATGTCGTATGATTTCAGACGCACGGAATCGACGGAGGATTGCTTGAAATGTCTTTTTTGTTTTTGTGTTTTTTTTTTCTCTTCTTCTTTTTTTATTTTTAATATTTAGATATACAAATAATTACTAAATCTCTAAAATTTAGTACTGCGTCTATTTTGGTCAATTATGACAATGTAATATCCAAAAGATTATATTGGGTATAACTAAATATTATCTTACATGCAGTTTTTATATTTGAGATCTGAAGGGATCTTGTCTATAATTTTTAATGCGTTTTTAATGATTTTTTTAAATTCAAAAGTTGTTTCATTATATTTTTTTAATATAAAATTTATCCCTATATTATTAATTATATAACAATTTTATATTTTAGTCTTTAAATTTTACATAAAATATGACTATTCTAATTTCTAATTTTGATCCTTGTATCCATAGGGGCTGAAATTCCACCAGTGCCAATTTGATTTTAGGATTATTTTGTAATGATAAATTCTTCTCCCAAAATCCATTAGAAGTTGAATGGAGTATTCTAACTTGACCTGGCTAAATTATTTTTTTGTCATTATAAAAATCACTCTCCTCCCCGTTAATCATCTTTCAAGATTAAAAAATTAATTTTAAGAAATTTTAAATTGATTTATAAGGTATCACGAAATTTTAAACAATTAATTATACTTAAATCCACTTTTTCAAAATAACTCATCTTACCATCACTCTCAAACACACCTTAATTCTAGTTTCACATCTTATTTATATTCTATTAAAATTACAATTAACGTGTTCTATATTAGCATCACATTAATGACTTTTTAGTTCTCCTTCAAGGTTTTCACCATTTATGATAGTAAACTTTTAGCATCTTTTATTTTATTTATTTTTTGATTGCGTCTTTAGAGTTTATTTATTTATTTATTATTTTTTTAGTACAACATATAGGGTGAGGGTTCGAACTCATGACCGATGAGAATTATTGAAACGTCGATTTCATGAGATAAACATGAAAAATACAAAAAAAAAACTTAATGAGGTAAACATCGAGAGATAAAAGATTCCAATTATATAAAAAAGTTTAACTATTTAATTAATTTCATACTAGTGTATACTAAAAAAAGCAWATAATTGATAAAATAAAACGTTTGTTTTTATTACAGTACAATTTGCTCTCTATTTATAAAATTTTAACATAAATTTTTATATGTGATCGAAGCCTTTTTAATATAAATTTATAGCTATGAATTTAGTAGGTGAAGTATCATGTTAAAATTATGATTGAAAAAAATAAAATAAAAATAAAAATAAAAATAAATGAACATAAATAGTTATTTTTTAAATTACAAATATTAAAATAGAGGTTTTGGASCTAGCTTAAAATGAAAAAAATTGAAATTATAACGACCAAAATAAATATTTAAAAATATATAGACCAAATATTATTTATTTATTATTTTTGAGTAGATGGCCCAAATACTAATCAAACCAATAAAATAATATTTGATACATTAAATACGCCAACAAAACATTAACATAGACTTTTTAAAAATAATTAATTTTTTTTAATTCGGTTATTAAACAAACTGCTATAGCTTGAAGATCATTAGTCAACTGTTGCGCTATTTCATTTCATTGTGGACCAAAAAGATCCGGTGTTTTCACTTTCAGCCGATCCATCGCTAGGGTTTCGGCTTCATCAGCTCATTATTGTTCCGAACAATTGTCGACGGATTGGATAAAGAAGATCCAGAGGAATTCAATTTTCTTAGGTTATTTCTCTCTTTCCTAATCGTCACCTCTTCTTCTGCCTAATTTCTTCCTACTTTTCTTTACGTTTACTCATTTTCTTCTTACTTTTCGAGTCTGCAACACTATTTACTTGCAGGGATTTGCTTTCTGATTCATTATCCTTTTAGGAGTCTTCTTTTTCCTGTTGGGCGGTTTTGGGAAAGATTACGATTACTGGGCTTTCTTGTTATCCTGGTCTGAGCATTGAGCAAGTTAAGACTGGGGTTTGAGGAAGTTTTTTTTTTTTAAGGCTTTAAGTTGGGGGATAAGTCATTGCTTCTCAAATATCTGCTCTGTAGTTCACCTTTTTTTCTTGTTCTTCCTGCTTTTGGACCCCTTTGTGCTTGAATAACTCAAGGGGTGTTGATTTGAGCTTCAATTTGAGACTTCTGGTTGATTGGTTGAAGATTTGAGAGTGTTTGAAGCCGTGTATAATGTTTGGCAAGAGAGTGGTTGATTGAGGTTTGAATTTATATTCTAGATTTGTAGATTTGTCACGCCGAGGAAATCTGCTGGAGTTTGATCGATCCAGAGTTTTGGATTATGAGTATTTGATTGTGCTCGTGGTTGAGTTTTAAGCCTTTTTATTTTCTGGTTATGGATTACTCGAAGAACAAACAGAATGAGCACTTGGGCGTGAACAAAATGGGGAAGAATATAAAGAAAAGTCCACTGCACCAACCTAATTTTGGTAGCATTCCTTCTACACAACAGCCCCATCCTCAGCCTCAGCCTCAGCCTCAGCCTCAGCCTCAGGTTTACAACATCAACAAGAATGATTTTCGGAATATTGTTCAGCAGCTGACTGGTTCTTCCCAAGAGCCGTCTAGACCACCTCAAAATCCAGCCAAACAACAAAGCTTGAGACTGCAAAGGATACGACCTCCCCCATTAACACCTATCAATCGGCCCCATGTTCCACCTCCAGTACCCGTTTCCATGACCCCGCCACAGATTCCTTATTACAATGGCTTGATCAGGCCTGCACAACCACAATGTGATCAGTCATCAACAATGCTTCAGGGGCAGCCAGCATCCACACAACAAGCGCCTCAATTGATACCTGGAGACTCAATTTGGCCAAAGACTGCTGAGTCTCCAATATCTGCCTACATGCGTTATCTTCAAAGTTCAGCTATAGATTCCCCTTCGATAGGAAACCAGGCTCCACAAGCACAAGTTTCAGGTCAAGTTCAAAACCAAGTGGCTGCCTCTGGTTTACCGCCCAGGCCCGACCCACCCATTCCTGCCACTCATCCTAGTACAAGTTGTCCTGTGCCATCTCTTCCTAATTTTCCTCCCACCCAAGCAAACAGTCCTTCATTTTTTCCCTCTCCTACACAGTTTCATGTGCCCTCTCCTTCTGGTTACTTAAATTTGTTATCACCACAGTCACCTTATCCATTGCTTTCACCTGGAATGCGGTTTCCTCCACCACTGAGTCCTAATTTTGCATTTTCACCCATGGCCCAACCAGGGATTTTAGGTCCTGGGCCTCATCCTCCGCTTTCTCCTGGCCTTGTATTCCCATGGTCTCCATCAGGATTATTCCCCCTACTGAGTCCAAGATGGAGAGATTGGCAGTCCTAGTTTTCAGTGTATTATATTTTAAAGTGCCAAGCTTACCTTACCACTTCCTCACAGGAGATTGTAACATATAGAGGTGGTGGAAAAGGTCATTTTGGTTGTTTGCACTGTCTGTTGCTTATTTTACATTCTTTGTTTTGCTTTTGTCTACACCCCATTTTGCAGCTTGATCAGCTTATGGATCCTGTTTCAGCTACTTTACCCTCCTTTTGGAGGAAGAGAAAGAAAAAAGAAAGCATCAAGTAAAGAGGTTTTCATTAAGCAATGATCAATAGTTCAGGCCATTGGGCTTCATATTGAATGGAAAAGAGCTGTAGCACGAAAGTTAATCACAGAATGTCAAATATCAAGATACGTTATAGTTGAAGATTTCTTATCATGTTGTAGTTGTGGATTATTATGTAGGAAGTTTGGTTTCCTTTCATTTAATTCATTGAACTCATTTGTTGAAGGAACTGTGAAGTGGAGAAATCAGATATATACTGCATGTTGTTCTGTTCAAGGAAGTACATAGTTTGATCTACGAACTCTTTGCTGAGGAAGGTCGTTCCTTCTTACTGTTTAATACGAGTATGGATAATATTTATATTGATATGAAATTTTTGATGCAGGATTCAAGTTGCTTATAAAATTGTGGGTTATTTTGGGTGTTTCTTATGCAAATTTGAGCCTAGCTCAATTGGTTAAGTCACTATCTTTGATCAAAATATTATGAGTTCGAATCTCCACCTCAGCAAAAAAAGTGTCTCTTTCCTTTATATATTTCAATTCTCGCCCACCTAAAAACTATGGTCAAAATAAATCTTAAACACGATGAAGGTAACTAAAATCATGTCCATGACTTCAATTTTCATGATGTGTTATCCATTCTTCCCACCTTTCCTTTAAATAAAGATTCTATTGCAATTCAAAAAGGTATTTTATATGATTTCGATTTTGTAGCATTTTGTTCAGAGGATACAATAGTTTGTTTCGTTCAAAAAAGGTAAAGTACCTTCTATAATACTTTTCAATCTTATTCTTCAAAGTAATACCAAGTATCACTATCATATAAAGTCCATAGGGTTTCTTACTCTTATAATTTCTACGTACATTTTTTTTTTGGAAATTGACTCAAATGACCTTCAAAAGTTTGTGGAATGGTCAAATGACCCACCCTTTTAAAATGTGCCCAAATGACCCACGGGAATATTTAATTAATTAATTTTAAAAGGTAGCAAAATTACAGTACTACCTTTTTGTTCAGAAAACCAAACCATTTGTTTTACCTTTCCCCTTTCCTCGCCGTTTTCAGCCCAAATTCGTCTTCGCAGTCCCTTGGAATTTCTTCTTAATCTTTGTTTCTCTTGGCGATTGGTTTCCATTTTATGTGTGTTGAGGAGTTGAATGGTTGTTTATTTGCGTTGATTCAGTTTTTTGATATTTAGATGAACGAATACATGTATAATATTGCATCAATTTAGGTTTTTTTCTGTTGATTTTGTTTTCTGGTGTTCTTCTTTGTTTCGTTCCCTGTTTTTCTTCGATTTTTCATTTATGTTGGAATTGAGGTCTGTGGCTGCGGGAGTTTGATTTGAAATGTTTGAAGTGGTGTGGTGGGAGGTTGAAGATGAAAGAAGTATTTTCAATGAAGTGGGATGGACCTCGAGCGAGGTTGAAGAGATTTGAAACGTCGCTCAAGGTTTAGTAAGCTTCTGTCATTTTTCTCGGGTTCGACCTCGGGCGAGGTTGAGCCCGAGGTAATTAAAAGAGGCTGAACCTCAAGAAACCTCACTCGAGGTTGAGCTTCTTTCAATTACCTCGGGCTCCACCTCGCCCGAGGTCGAATCCGAGGTAATTGAAAGAGGCTCAACCGCGAGAAACCTCACTCGAGGTTGAGCCTCTTTCAATTACCTCTGGCTCAACCTCGCCCAAGATCGAATCCGAGAAAAATGACAAAGGCTTAGAAACCTCGAGGTTGCGTCAACTTTTTCTATCACCAACCGTTGACCTCGGCCGAGGTTCATCGTTTCTTATGAAACTCGGTCGGGAAACCATAACTCCCGCCCGAGGTTCATAGTCAACTTTAGCAGAATCATGCTGAGATATGAAACTAAATTTAAAAATGACATTTCAAAATCAAAGCAAACAAAACAGCAAAATTGCTTTTCAAAATGTAGTCCAATCTTAAGAAGAAATCAAAAACAACAAAATTAAAGACAATGGTTGTTGTGAATTAAATGATTCCCGGGCGGGAATTAATATGACCCCGGCCGAGGTTTTTTCCAGCGGTCATGTCTTATAATTAAGGGTATTTTGGTCATTTCATCTCATCTGACACATCATTAATGCTTAAAATAGGTCATTTGGGCACATTTAAAAAGGGTGGGTAATTTGAGCATTCCATAAACTTTTGAAGGTCATTTGAGTCAATTTCTCATTTTTTTTCCTTAATTAATTTCATTCTTGTTCCCATTTCCTCTCTCAAAAATCTCTAAAAAAATATTTTTTTTCTCACTTATTTCACTACACTTGCACACATTTTCCAACTAACCCTTTTCACACATTATTTCTCAACTATATTTCTTTATAGTTTATACGTACGTCTTCCAATTTTCTCTCAACTGACAAACCTAGGTTGATGGAAGAGTAGCTAACAAAGAGTGAAGGCAGTCTTCATCTTCTAACTTTGATTTAGGCACGGGAGAACAAACTCTCTCATGTCGTTTCTCCTTCTCAAAACTATCTTCCTTACAGGATCACAATTTGTATCAATTAAATAAATATAGACATCGAATAATGAAGGCATTTGTTCTTTATGGCCGCTTTTAGGTTTTATGATACCCCCACCCAACATCTATTGCTGGTTAGGGTGTTGTTACCTTCCACAGTTGAAATTATGATCTGATCTTTGGGAGCATGAAAAGCCTTTTGTTTTTTCCCACTCTAGCTATGTAGGCTTAGGCTCAGGGTAGCATGGGAATTAATTAGTTGTATATTTTTGTCAACTTGGCAACTTGCACCCACTCATAATTGGCCTTTGCCTCTTTCTTTCCTAGAAAAAGGGCCGCACTCTCATCATCATATCCCTCCACTCATGGGATTCCTAAACTTATCACACTTACCTTTCCAAAAACTACCGTCCATTTATTTACTCTCGATCGTAATCAAGGGATCGTTTTCACTCTTTTTAACCGTGTTTATCAAATCATTAGAATGTAATCAAATTGTAGGACCATCTCATTTCTTAAAAGGGTGTGATTTCATTACGCTCCTGCAATCCTATCAATCTCATTCTCATTCCTTATTCCGTAGGCTCTACTTATATATTATAATTAATTTACCACTTTTACTTTTTTCTCTCATCTATTAATTATACCCATACAATTTTCATTTTCTAATATATTTTTATAATTTGTTCTCCATTTATACTTTAATTTTTATGAGTTGATGTGATTTTATTATATAATATTATAAATTTATATTAAAATAGAAATTATTATTTTTAAATATTAGAATAATAAAATTTATATTAAATTAGGGTTGTTCAAATAAAAAATATTTTATTTTATGTAATCTTATTTTAATTACTCATCATTTATCCAATGTAATTTTATTTTAATTATTTGTTATTTATTAATATTAAATAAATTGTTACAATAAAAATATTTACTCTCAGTAATATAGTAATAAATTAAAATAAAATTTTATTATTATTGTAATTAAAAAATATTACCAAAATAATGTCTTTATAATTAGTTAAAAAGAAGAAAGGGATATACTATTAATTGCCATATATCATTCTGAATTCTGATTACGATTTCAGAAAATTTTTGGTAAATAACATCAAAGGAATAACATTCACATTTCCGATTGATTTTTATTCCGATTCATTCCCATTACAATTGTGGATAAATAAATGGGTATAATTTCACCCTTTGTTTTGTTATGCCTTCTCTTTAAATAAAAAGAAATTCATCCTATACCACGAACTCACTTGTTGGATGGTTATTCTTGATTAACACATTATACATGTCCTCTCTTGTATGATGAAGCGACGATTTGGAGATTTCACTTGTTTGAGTAATTTTGATCAATTGGGTTAAAATTTTGTTAAATTTTTAGCATGTTAATTATTGTCCCAACATTGGTTTCAATTATTAATTATTTTCTTTTGAATGGTTTCTATTTTGACTTTGCATTTATTTTGGAAACTTTTAATCCTATGTCCTAAGTCCTACCCAATTTTTGAGAAGTTCGTCAAATTTAATTACATCCGTGTGAAAACAATTAATTAATTCTTATTTAGTCAAACATTATCGACCCATCGGTAGTTTAAAAGGGAAAGATAGTCGATTAAATAAAATTAAGGTCATTACACAATGATTAAGAAAGTAGTCTTAGTTAAATTAATAGTTGATTATTGTCTAATCACTATGTAATCTAGTATCAGCTAACGTGTAGAACATTACTTTTCCTTTCTCAATTATCCTTTTCTATTGAGTTTGGCAACAACATAACTTTTAGATATTTTCAAATTACAGTTAATGATCAAATTGTATAAAAGTGCCCATTTGAGTATATCTCTTATTTCTGTGAAGAGATCGGAAGTTTAAATTCCTATTTAAAAAAAAAATCTCTCTTTATAAAAAAATAATAAAACAATTCCTTCTCACCCGAGCTTCATAGAGATATATATCAATTCTATTATTTTGGTTTTTCTTGAACCAAATGGATGAGGAAAAGAATGGCTTGATTGTGACAATTCAATAAAATTGATAATCTTATGCAATTTTTAAGTTTTTCCCTTTTTTTAATGGACAATTTGAAGTTAAATCAATTTTCCTTTGATGTGTTTATTCTTCAACTACATTGTTTGTGCAACAAATTCGTTCAAGGTTGTAATGGTTCAATGAAGGTGACTGAAATGAGTTTGAGTGTCACTTGACTAGGAGAGAAATCTTTACAAGAGAAGCAAACACTCTGACGTTTAAGTCAGTTTAAGTTTGATCTTAATATAAAGACTGAGTTAGAATGTGATATCTCATACAGGTTTGTTGAAGTGTTCTATTTATAGGTTGAGGATACAATAAGCTATCCAATAGGCGGTTGCTCATGTCGTCCTGAGAGTTAGTATGTAGACTACATAAGTTCGTGGATGGTTAGGACCTTCTGTCAAATGGATACTTTCCAGCATGATTTTATGGCTAAGTATGAAGGTCGACCCTCCATTAGATACTCTTCAAGGGGACTTGGTCATTCCAACCTTCTTCTATCCTTCACCCAGTAAAACTTTTTTTTTTTTTACCCACAACACATCAATTCAATCAATTAAAGAAAATCATTAAATTTAAAAATATTATATAAATTAATTATAGAAGCACATCAACCATAGCAAAAGAAATATGCAAAATCAATCTCATTCTATAACCTAAATTGGAGTATCTTATCATATGTTTAAGAAAGGACATTTTTTTAGTGCAACAACGGTCAGAGTGGGAAATCTAACCTTCAATCTCAAGAAATCTAATAAATCTAATATTTTAAAAGAGGTTTAAAAACTAGGGTTTCTAGAAGATACGTAAAAAGGACTATTATGTTTTGAAACTAGGATGCATCAATCCCCACCTCTATCTTCCTATTTTTTTCATAATAAATGAAACCAAAGATAGAATTTTGAGTAACTCTTTAATATAATCGACATCAAAGACATCTGGAAAATTATAGTCATGAGTTCCATTAGACGCACAATCAGATATTTATAATGACTTTACTTAACAATTCTCATGTCATATCTTTTGAAACTATTTATTGAATGGTATATTTACCTAATTTTGTTGTTTTAACTTTATTGTAATATAAATAACAAAAATATTGGAAAATCATACATTGATATATAAAAATTGAAAATCAAAAGAATAAAAAGATGGGATAGCAAATAATAAAACAATAATTAAGGTAGTTGGTTACCTAACTTAGGTTTCGAAGATGTTTAAGTTGAGAGGTGAAAGACTTAGTTTATGTGAATGATGAAACCTTATAATAGTGACAGTAATTTGATAGGGTAGCCCTATAGTAGAACCACTTCAAGAATATTGTGTGATTTGACCTAATAATAATAAAACCAACCCCTAATGCAAAATTGGTCAAAAATCCCAAGCTAAATATCTTCATATTATAAAAGGTCACAGACTTTGATTATGGACTTAAATTTTAACACGATGAATGTTGGTATAGAATGATCTTCTCAACCATATCTTTATTTTGATACCTGATTCATTACATATTTAATTAAAAGTAAACAAAGTGATAGTTACATACTATATTGTGACTGTTAATGAAAACTTAATAAATATGTTAAACAAGATGTATATAAAATAACTATATAGAAATTTCATTTTTTTACAAGGTTAGTCCTAAGAATAGACAAAGTATTACGATTAATCACGATTTCGACTTGTTATACTTCCTATGGAATTCGATATTAATTTTCACACCAATTTTATTATGGAAGATATAAACTTGGTTCCACGTTAATTATATTAGAGATATAATAGATTTTAGATCTGATAAGAACATCATCGTTCTAATATTAAACATTTAATGAAATATTAGAAGTTAATATATTATTAAACATCTTTCAAAATACATGTAATAATAGTGCAGTTTAAGATTGTTCCCAAATAGACTCTCAATGACCTATAATTTCGTTGTCTAAATACGTTATAGATTGTAAATATATTAATTTATATTGTAAGCAACATTATTAAATAAAATTAAATAGTAGGTTTGCCTAATTTCAACGCTATTATTGTTTATTATTATTAGAATAATCACTACTTCCAATTTTATATTTACATTATTATTTATTATTCTATATTAATTCTTATTAGTTAACTAAATTATTTAATGCAAACATTTTATACCAATTAAATTTAACAACTTAAAAAATACTTTTAACAAACATTATGATATCAATTCTAAATTTTTAAATTGATTAATTTAAGATATAATATAAACATCGATAACTAAATGACATAAAATAATTAAATATTGGATTTTATTTTCATTAATTTCTATTAACAAACCAATAACTGCTTCTATTAATCTCATGCGTGTCTAAAAGTGGAATAGTTAATATTTCAGATATTTAATATCTATCTTCATTGCATCAAATAAAAAGAGTTAAAATACAAGTTGGGTCCACGAATTTCTTGGAGTTGTCCAAACGAATCTTTAAATTAGAAAAAAAAAAAGTATATAATTATTTACTAAATTTGAAAGAATGTCTAATAAATTGCTAATTCCTAAAATTTTAAATGTCTAATAACAAGTCCCTTGACTTTCAAGATTATGCATAATAAGTTGTTAGAACTCGAAAAATATCTCATAAATCAAGGACCTTATTATACACAAATTTGATAAAGCTTAGTCATATAGAAATTAAAAATTCATAGATCTATTAGACAATTTAAACACAAAATTGAAATCAGCTTCTTGTAGGCTGAACTCTCCTCTATTTAGTTTAGGCTCCAAATTGTTTTTGGGTGGGGGTGTAGAACTTGTTTGCTAATATTTCCGTTTCTTATTTCTCGTTTAAAACATAAACCGTTCCTGTTTTTTGTTTCTATTTTTTAATAAACATTTCTAAAATTGTCAAATCGAGTCTAATTCAACGATAATCTGACATATATCAAATGGGCCTGGTTGATGGGCACAAAAGTTAAAGAAGGGAAGGTGTGAAAGGGTGGGGGTCAGGTGTATTTTAACATGAATCTGAAAGAGGAAATGGGAGTCCTACAAACTACAACTCCAATGGCATTTTTCCTTGGGAATTGCCTTTTTCAATGAACATGAACACAACATCAATCCTCTCTCTCTCTCTAGGAGACTGTACAGTGTTTGTGAGTGTATGGGCAATTTAGAGAGAGAGGGAGAGATTCTGAAAGGGGAAAGTTGCACATGCCCAACTGACACAACAACAAAATATTTAATTCTCACATTTCTAATTTCTAGGAAGAGGCCTCACAGCCCTGCTTTATGTCAAAAGGGTAACTTCTATGCCCATTTTAGACATCAATACCCATGGATTCCCAGTACCATGCTTCACAAACCAATCACTACACAATACACACACCAATTATAACAAAACTAAATCCCAAACACAATCAGATATATGTATGCTCCCAAATCTCACTCTTACTTGATTCCCAGTCCCATCATATGCATATGCTTATGCTTATTCAATTTCAGATCAATGAATTAATAAAGCAGATTAAAGAACACTGCTCAATACCCCTATCGCTTTCCTCTTGGAACTACAGGATATTTTAATGTTCTTCATACAACAACGGAAAATCGATCCATCATACTCACAGTCCCAACGCCACCCGGAGAAGAAAAAGAGAGAACAAAATCAAAAATCAAAGAGAGAAGAAGAAATTCAGAAATAATGCCTTCTCTTCTTTCCTTTCTTTAATAATTTTCTTTTTTCCTTCTTCCAGAATCTTTCTTTCGTTCTTTGTTTGTTTGTGAAATTAGTGTGGTGATTTGGATGTACCTGCGTCATCGACGGCCCGAGCCATTCCTTCGGTCACAGACGTAAGCTTCTGCAGATTCAATTTCACAACCGTGTCGGCGAATAGACGCGTATCCTCTTCCGTGTTCCCTTCCGGCACATCCACGATGTACGATTCCAAAACGACGGTCCAGATCTGATCATCGCGCTCCATCTCATGAACCGTCGTCACCGACCGGTAGTTACTCAACCGATGCTCGCCGCCGGTGATGGTGAATCCGGTGACGTATCGATCGTCGTCCAGTATGTCGAGCCTCTCTGTACTGGTGGCGGCGGGGAGTCCAGAGATTACATTCACGTCTCTCGTGCAACCTACGGCCATTGTGAAGTCTTCCGCGACGGCGCAGCTCTTGATGAAGTGCTTGTAAGTCTGCGGCTTATCGAAGCGGCGGATGACGGACCACACCACGTCGCGCGGGGCTCGGATTAGTTGGGAGAGCAGGGACGAGCATTGGCCGCCCCGGAGTTCGTAGGTGTGGAACTCTAGGATGAGGTGCTTCAACTCCTCGAACTCGTGCTGAGACAATCCAGCCGGCACGGCGAGGTGGTGGGCGGTGGTGGAAGATTGGGCGGCGGCGGCGTCGTGTTGGTGGTCGATTTCTGACTCTTCGCCCTTTTCCATTTCTGTTAAGAGCTCTTTTCCTCCTGCCAGGAAAATGTCGGGTTTTGGAAGGGGAGAGAGGACTTTTTTGTTCCCCTTTTTTTTTTAATTAAAATTTAAAAAATGAAATAAAATTAAAAAAGGAAATTTTATTTTTGAAAATTTTTTGGTTGGAGCGGAAAACGGTTGCGGGGTAAAAACGTCAAACTAAGAAATAAGCAGCATATTTTATTTTATTCAGAAAATATAATTCTCGAATACAACAATGACAAAAAGATCGAGAGATCAGGTGGAATTTACCTTTTGTGGGCGCAATAGGAATCCGACGGCCCATGCAGCACCAAAGTTGGCGGTGGACGATGGCCTTACTAGAGTTTGGCTCGAGTTTGATATACCAAAAAAGAAAAAAAAAATCTACATTTAATATGTTATTACATATGATCATATAATAAGACTCAACTGAGCTACCAATTTACTAACATCATAAATCATGAATATACAAATCAACTTAGCTACGAATTTATTAATCTCATTGATACATATAAGTTTTCTCTTATATTACACAACTTTCATAAATCATAAGTACACAAATCAAGCATAAGTTTCGTAACTTTAAGTTCTTGAAACCCTTTTTCTCACACAATTCAGACAAACATACTATACGAGTTCATGTTTGACATTACTTTAAAGATTCAAATTTAGATCAAGTTGATTTTGCAAAGAAAATTGGAGAGTTTGAACTAATATTTGTTAGTTAATGTCAATTTTAATTAATTGAAATAGAACAGTAGGAATAACAAGGGGATTTATAATTTTTTTTTTGTATAATAGTTTGAAAATATGAAAGATCGAACCTCTGACTTCAAATGAAGAAATATGTGCGAATTATCGTTGAATTAAGATCATGTTCACAAGGAATTTATAATTATTAAGGTTGATTGATGTCTTTATATTTATATTAGGTTTTGAAACTTACAATTAGAATAATGGGGAAAACCATATTAATTATAAATAATTATGTCCCTTTTCTTTGCATTAAAAAATAAATTGTTTTTGTCACCAAATTAAAAGAAAATAAAAAATGACGTGGGGGGAAAAGGAATGAATGAGGTCGAAGTTTGCGTGGTTCCCTCATTGGAAAAGACAGTAAAACGTCAGTATCATATGCCACGTTTTTTCCAGCTAATCAAATTAATTAATCTATTCTCTCAAAAAAAAAAAAAATCAATCTATTTCCATTTTCTAAGCATATCCACAATATATTACCATTTTTCTTTTTTTATTTTTTCTCCCATAACTTACTTAATCATGATATTCATAAATTTTGTCCTCATACTTTAAGTATTATATATTTTTTTATTTTAGAAAATTTAAACCAGATTCATAGACTTTGAATAAACATTGACGTGAGATTCCATAATTTAGATAAATTTTGGATGAAGTAATATGATGTGATAGCTAATTGCATGAAATACAAAATTGATAAATGATAATATGGATATCACAAATTGATGATTATACTTTAATCCTGAATTTAACTTATCTCTTATCTCAATTTCTAGTTCTAAAATTGTTTTGTACCTTACCTAATGTTCATAATTAAGGGATAAAATTTTACTAATTGTAGAATAAAAACATCACCTTTTTTGAAGGAGTGTTGTTTGAAGAGGAACAATTAAAAAATGAAGAAAAGTTACAAATCTAACTTTGCTTCGTATATTATATTTAGTCTCTAAATTTTCAAATATCTTACCTTAATTTATCCATATTGTATATAACATTAATTCAATGATTGCTATCAATTCTTTTTTAAATTATTTAGTAGAAAATTTGTTACATGCTCTCTTTTTATTTGTTTATTTGATTTTTTTTATTTGATGAACAAGTAGTCAAGTAAACAAATGTTAGAAACAACTTAACAAGAACAAGTATTCCAATTTTAGAAACATAATTTTCCTTTTTTTTTTAAATAAAATATTAGAATGACTTTTCACACAAAATTAGAAATTAAAGTTAATATTAGAAGAAGAAATAATTAAAAATAGTATTCAAATTTTAGAAAAAAAAAAAGTAAAACAGAATGAGTGGTAAAAAAAATAAAAATAGTGAATTTAAGGATCAAAATAAGGTATAAAACCATTATGAAAAAAGAAAATAAGGTCTCAATGTGGACATGAAGCATCCAGCTGATATCTTCAAGTCAGCTCACCCATGACTTGTCTGCTTCCCCCACTTCATTAATTAATTAATTAATCAATATACTTAAAATAAATCAATAAAATCTATTAATTAATTAATTAATCAATCAAAAATAAATCAATAAAATCTTGTCGTACCCTCCGCTAAGTTTTTTTTTTTTAAATATGATAGGGGAAGTGTAGATTCCAATTCACTATTTTTTAGTTGAAGATAGGTGTCTTAATAAAACTATGCTTCAATTGACCATTTTTCTAGAATTTAATTTAATTTTGTTAGTTTGATTATTAATCGGTTAGCGGGACATTATGTTGGATAATTTTAGTTTCAAACCTTTTGATTTTTAATATTTAAATATTATTTTTATGAATAAAATATTTGTTTAGTTGACTCAATAATGCTGTTTGTTTTCTTTTGTTTTAAATTCAAAAGAAAAGAAAAACATTAATAATGCTATTTGTTTAATGGTGAGAACTTGGTCTAAGAGAATAATAATATTCTAGAGACAATCAATAATTTAAACAAAGAAAAATAAATTCTTTGCTATTTATTATCCCATTTACTTTCTTTACTAAATGAAGTTAAATCTTTTACAAAAGTTTTGCAACCATGAATTACTCACAATAAATTAAAATTTTAATGAATATGCCAATGTTGCTATCGATACTGTCTCGAGCCAGGTCAGATTTTTTTATTATAAGTGACAATCAATCCTAAGTATAGTTATCCTACCTAATAGAAATCTGTGAAATGAGGAGAGAAATCATTTAGTATAACACAATACTACAGAAAATCATAGGAAAGAAACATACAATATTAAATATTATAATCATATAAATGGCCATGTATTTAGCTTAAGCTTTACAAACATATCCATCATTAGTTATCAAATCCTATTCAATTAAACATAATTTTTTTAATACAATAAATTGGGGTATGAAGTATAGAAATATGTGTCAATTCCCGTTGCAAGTCATGTTCTCGTCGGCATATATGATTTATAATATTTAAAAGACGAAAAATAATTACTTTTGCTCTAATCGTTGTAATGCCAAATATAATATTTTTGTCGTTAAATCGTGATTGTAATTCATTTTAGTCCTGGCATCAAATCTTCTACTTGCATATTCTTAAAAAAAAAATCATATATTTGCATTGACAAAAATCTTAAAACATGATTTTTTTAGTTCAAGCAAGGTGAGAATGATGATTTTTTTAGTACAACATGTGAAGTGGGAGATCGAACTCACAAAATTATCACTGAGCTATACTCACTTTATCGGGAGGGTGATCTAACTTTATATATATATATATATATATATATATAACAAAATGATATTTTATACAAAATTCACATGACCATATTTTTGGGAATTTGTGGGCACCATACCATCTTTAATTTTCCTTTGAGTGAAAGGCATAAAGACCATTAAGAAGTTGGAATAATAAATGCTTCCAAAGTTGGCCCCAAATCAGTATGAGACATAATCACAGTACCACACCCTGCACTCATTCATCATTCACATTTTCACATTATATAATATTTTATTTTCCATTTTCAGAACAGATCACAAATCATGCCACTACCCAAATTTCTGCATCTCACTTTATGCCCATAAATTATATTCAGTAACAGCTATAAAATCCTACTTTTTGAAACATATGATGGTGAATTTTTGTTGGAAAAAGAGGGTGAGAAGGAAGGAAAAGGAACCAAGAATTTTAGCAACCAAACATCCTCAAGTGTGGCCATTTGGGAGGAGGAATCCCTTTCTTCACATTTTTGCAAGATCCTCCTTCATCCTTTGATCCACTTCTTGTCTTACCAAGTTGCCCTTTTGAAGGACTGGGTTGCTTCTTTTTCTGTTGATGTCTTTGAGGCTTCTCCTATATCCAATAAAAAGAGAGTAAAAAGGGGATCAAATGTAACACATTGAATCATTTGAAATGCTATTTATGGTAAAGCTTGGGTTCTAAAGAGTATGAAAAGACAGGCCAAATCATCAGTTGTATACTGTAGATGTTGAATCCACACCCTCGGTTTTTCTCACCCCGGTACGACGACACCATGAGGACTGTACTGATGTTCGGCGTCGTCGTGAATTCAGGATCTGATTAATTAGGAAGGATGAGGCTTTTCTATGCCAATTAAGAGTTTAACTTATATGTGTATATGAACCGCATTCTAGGCAAAGAGCTCACTATCAGTGTCAAGTATCAATATTCCACTAGCAGCAAAATATTCAATGGCTTAAAGGACATAAACTTGACAGAAAAATTTTTCAAGAGACAGAAAAAAAGGGCAAAGGCATAATGCTTAATTGATCATCCTCTCCCAAGTTGAGGCAAAAGAATAATTACCAGTGAAACACCATGTTCATTTAGGCTCGGTACGACAACGATTTCATTTTCACAATTTTCCCCCTTTCTTTAGAACTACTTTTTTGTAGTTAGTAAAAAGTAGATGACAAAACAAAGCAACGTATCTGTTTATAAGCCTCATTCCTAGATACACAAAACTAAAAATAAAATGGTTATCACGCAGAGTTCTAAAATTCTTGGTTACTATCTTCGGAAATCTTTGTGTGGTAGCAATTATTCATACTCGTGGGTGTTTTTTACCTGGACTTGGGAAATTTGTGAGGTTCCTCCATGGCTTGGGTAGTGGAATGTGGGATATGAAGAAGAAGGTTCCCCTCTGCAAAACTGTTTTGGAGAAGAAGAAGAACTAATCTCCACAGATGCTTCTGTTGAAGTGAATGATGAAGGATTTGTGGAGCTTCCTGAATCCATCTTTAAGCATAGCTGCGGTTCAACAATAACACACAACAAATAATTATAAACTTTGGGGAAATTAGCTGCTAGATGATGATTATGACCTATTAAGACTCTCAAAAGTTTTCCGACTTATATTTAACCACATTCAATCTTTTCGACATATGCTCAACGATATACTCCTCTTCGAGTATTGAGGACACAAATCTCAATACTCAACTACTAATATGAAACAAGGAGAAATAATATTGAAAAACTTTCAATTCAAGATTTTTTGGTAGATAAAAAATTTTAACTTTATTCTCGAACGCTGCTACTCACTTGTAGGTTGACATGGACAGATTTGAATTGGGATTCATTGCACTTTTAAAGCATAAAAAGGATGAGAAAATCAACTTGTACCTTGTTTCTTTATGCAAAGTTATGGAGGGGATGGGGGAAAATGAAGTGGAATTTATAAAAAAAGAAAAAGAAAAAGGGGGGTTTGAGGAATATTTGAACCTGAAAAAGTCTATGCTCAAGAGCTGCCACACGATCCAACAATGAACCTTTAAAGTAAGTATCTTTTAGTGCAACATCCAACGATACGCATCTCCTTTCCAAGCTCTGTTTTCTCTCCAAGTACTTCATCTATGGAAATTTAACCACAACCCCACATCAAAGAATTAACAAAAAGAGAAGAGAAGCCAATTTTGCTCTAAAACAGATAGAAGCTTACAACAAAATCCAAATGATCCAATCTAGAAAGAAGGGTCATGGAGGAAGAGGAGGAATGTTGTGGCTGATGGGACAACTTTGCATCATCTTCCATTGGATGAGAGCTCTTAGTGTCTTGGCTATGGAGGAATTAGCATCTTCTTTTTAGTTGTTTTCAGGACTTTTTAGCTCAAAACCGTTATGTGTTTCCCACTTTTTTCTGTTACTGAGAATACCAAGTCAAGCGCTGATCTGTTTTGCAGAGAGTGTCAGGGCAGAGGGCTCAAAAATCAAGCAGCCCACGAAGAGCTTTGATTAGGCTGATCCAGCTCCATGCCCACTCATTTTCAAGGTCCAATTAATGGAATTGGACCATTTCCAATCATCTTTTTTTTTTTTTTTTGAAAAAAAGGGCTTTGGTTGAAGTTTGATAGGTCATCTAAATTCTATCAGGTCTGAGTATGGGCATGATAATGATGTCTCTCTTGTTTTTTTTTTTTCCCTTCTCATAAGCTCCAAATCAAAAGATGGGGTTTGATTGAATTCGGTAGGGAGGAAAAATACAAGGATAAGTCCATAAGAAAATGAGATTTCCAACTTCGTCTGGATGGATGGGCTTGATTGTAACTTCACCACTTCAGAATTTTCTGGTTTTTCTAATCCCTTTCTTTTGAGCTCAAAATGTTTGGGGGAAAATTCCAACTCTTCTCAACTTCTTGTGTTGGATGGTATATGACTTAACTAGTTAGTTATGATTGGATTTAAGTACTTTCTTTAAAATTTTAATGTTAAATATTTGTTATAGGGTGATTTTGAAATGACCAAAATCACATTTTCATTGACAAAATCACTTCTTTCTTATTGATCGTGTTTGAAAAATTAAAAAAATATCACGATGGTAATTTTGAAAAATCAATTATACTTAAATCTCTTTTTTCGTCTCTAACATCAAAGTGTCTTTTTACAAACGCATCCTAAATCAAAGTTGAGCAATAAAAATCAATAGAAATTACTAATTTCAAATAAGAAGGGACGAGAATCAAAATTTTCACTCTCCATAGTGTTTACCAAATTGTAAGAATGGAATCAAATGGTTGGATGATCTCCATGATCACATTCATCTTCTACAACTTTATCAATTCCATTCTCATGGCTTATTTGGTGGGCACCACATATTTACTATAATTACTTTAAACTTTTATCATTTTTCTCTCCTTTATTAATAACGCCCATAACTTTTTTAATTAATTGTTTTATACTTTTATTATATCTTTTTCATTCCTAATAATTTTTCTTCTAATAAAAATTTATACAAATTTTTTTAGTTGATGTGTTTTTATTATAAAATATTATAAATTTATATTCAATTTTTTATTTTTTGAAATTTACTTTGTTTATATTAATTAATATGTCAATGATTTTTTAAAATAGAATTAATTATTAAATATTAGAATAATAAAATTTAATACTATTTTATATTAAATGATGGTTGTTATAATAAAAAAGTAATTTTGTTAATGTAATTTTATTTTAATTATTCATTATTTATTAATATCAAATAAATGGTTATAATAAAAAATATTTACTTTTTTCTAAAAATAATATAATAATAAAATAAATTAAAATTCATTATTATTATAATTAAAAAAAATTAATAGAGTAATGTATTTATAATTAATTAGAAGAAAAAAAAAAGTGTATACCACCAATATGGATATAATTTCAATTTTGATTCTAGACAATTTTAGTAAATAACATCGATGTAATTCTGATTTCGATTTCAGAAAGTTTTTAGTAATAATATTCTCTATCTATTCCGATTGATTTTCCTTTGGATTCATTCTTGTTCCAATTCAGGTAAGTAAACAACGTCTCATTTTGTACTCACCGTTTACCTTCTGGAATCACGAACCTCCAAATTTTCCCAACAAATAACAATCAAATGAAAACGCCAACGAAGGAAGTTTAATTTCTCTGAGTACCCAAGTCAAATTACCGCAGAAGGAAAGGGGAAAAAGAGACCAATGCTTGAGGAGGCTACGTTGGATTGCCACAATGGCTTTTCCTATAAGCCATGGGATACCGTATAACCAATAATATGCATTAAGAAGCAGAACAAAACAAGAATTTCCAAAAGAATTTTTTTAACCTAAACTTGATCTGGTGATCTCGTATACCAAGAAGCAAGCTGCATTAGCTGGAACACTACGAACAATGGCAGGTCCAAATCCTTTGTATAGGCCTTTAGCTCCTTCTAAGGCCATGATTTTTCTGAAGGCATCCATAGAACCAGAGAACTTTGGATTTTTGTAATCATCCACCTGAATCACACTCTTGATAACATCAGTTGGATAGACGGCTAGCCAGAAGGCAGCTCCAGCTACACCCCCTGCTACCATCAGAGAGCCTCTTCCTAGATTAGAAGTGTCTCGACCTCCTGCAAAGTGCTGTTTTAGCAGTTCATATACACCAAACGCCACAGCGTTTCCGGGAACTTCTCGTGCCATAGTTGGAATCAAGCCTTTAAAAAGACCCTTCACTCCACTCGACTGGAGAACATGCTTGGCTACATCAACTGGACCGCCATACTTCACTGCCACACCAACAGAAGAGGATGTTGCCAATGCACTCTGAGCTTGCAGTCTATTCTTTAACAAGAAAAGATGAAGGTTGTAATGTCTAATGAGCTTTCTCATTGTTGGCAAGTTAAATAATTTGCAAACGTTAACTAAGTAACATCTAATAACATACCTGTCTCCTACTATTTGGCATCCTTTCAATATAAAGAGGTTGCCAAAGTAAACTCATTAGAGAAGAAAAATGCCTATATAGATATAGCCGTAGTTTAATTTCCCTTCCCACCCATGCACTAGATGAGAAACCAACAAAGGCAACAGTAGTCAAGAACCAAGACAATGTGCGACAACCCAAATGCAGTTTGTTTGAGTTATCAGGAACAAGATGCGGATCATATGTTGGGTCTTATTTGTCTCTGTTTCTATATTAGGATAAAAGTGCCTTTCACTGTGAGTTTTCTAAACTTGTAACTCTAGGCATAATTTGATATTTGAGGATCACAAACTTCAGGATTTTCAAGGAAAGGTTGTAGTTGTACAAACCTGCACTTGATCAACTCAGTGGGACAAGCTAGAAGAGACACAGCAACGCCAGCCCCAGCCCCACAAACCATTTGTTGGTTAACTTGAAGGGAGGCACCAGGATAAGGCCTAAAGAAGGACTCTATTTGTCCCCTTACAGTGAAGAGAACGGCATTTAATGCAGCAACCGTAGCCAATGGAGCTCCCATACCTTTGTACAATCCTCTTGGGCCTTCTGAAGCTAAAGTTTGTCTGACAGCATCAATTGCTCCAGAATACTTGGGAAGTTGGCCAGGAAGTGGGGCGGGTTGGCTTTGAAGCTTGACCTTTATTGTATCAAATGGGTGCCCACATATCAATTGAGCTGCTCCCCCAGCAGTCCCAGCAGCAAGATCCTTCGCCACATCTCCCATATGAATGATAAACTCTCTGCACTCTTTCAAGTTCTTCAGCAACCTGTAATGTTATTATAACAGTCAAACATCTCTTTCCAAGTAGATACAGGAACTGCATTGAAAATCAAACCAAGAAGGAACAGATGATATTGTGAAACAGCTCTAAGCATTTTCTTTATAATATAAGAAATGAATGCACACCTCTGAATACGTTAAGTTCACTTCACTAAATTATCAAAATGGGATATCATGAACACCATAAACCATGGAAAATTAGGCCGAATATTTTATCTCTTCTTTTAATAGTATAGCAATTAGCTTTTGTAATATGCTTGGCCAAGAAAAAGTAGCCAGCAGAGTTGAGATGATCTAAGTATAAGCAGTTAGAGGAAAGACTAAAGCGCTTCAATGGAAATCAATATCAGGACATCATCCAAAGTTTATTTTCATTGAGGTAAAATCTCGAGTTGAATTTACCAGATGTTGCAGAAAGAGTTCTCTTGGTATAATGCAGATGAGCAGCCTCAAACTTAATCCAAGTTACACTTAGAGATTGTTTTAACAGCAAAATAGTTACAATAATTTTATTTTAAAAATGTTTCAAAGAAAGATAGATCTCTAACCAAATTCAGAAATCATAAACTTGCAATCAAACCCAAGGTTAAAAAACTCAGATTTGTGTTCTTCATGATTATCATAGAGCGGAGAAGACTTTGGAAGACAAAGGCACCATAGTACAACTTCAGTGGTCTGAGCATTTCTTTGTAGGAACAGGAAGTCTAATGGTGATAAGAAGCAAAATTTTCTTCTTTTTCATGCATATATGAAAAAGTGTCCAGTGTTTACAAGCAAACTCACATGACAGACAATTAAGCCAAGAACAATGAAGGAAGAGTAAAGGAAAGAACAACAACGAGAAGGTTATTAGCTATAGTTATAACCTATAAGCAGCACCCGTGATCTAGCTACATCCACTAAACAGCACCACCCTTGTATACAACTTTCAAAGTTAACTCAAAATACAAACTTAGGGCCAAGATTCGCAGCCATTCTTCTCTCCTTCTTCTTAAACTATATATATCAAATACCATACATATTCCTACCTAACAGAGAAGATATCAATAAGGATCACGTATTGTCATCTTACCATCAAGTTAGAAATTACCATGGTCATAAATCATAATAGCAGAATTACGACTAGATTGCACAAAATATTAATCTACACTGTCAAGTTTGTCAGAATTTCAGCCTCATCTAGCATGCAGACTGCGATGAAAAATTCCTGTCGTTTATTCCTTAGTCGAAGAGCCTAGGCTCGCACTGAAATAATTTTTAAAACGCCATTGTTTCTTCAGATAAAAGTATTAAATCGTAACACGCAATCTCCAGCATAACAGAGCAACCATCCACTAAGTACTTTGTTAAACTACGTAGACATCCGCTGAGAAATACAAGTTCTGACCTAGTCGATCACTAAACCGTCTCCTCATTTCCATGGAAACTGCTTCTAACCCCAACAACCAGCTCAAACGATGCAACTAGCACAAAAATGGCAATCTAAACCACAAATTCTGAAGGAATATGGCCGAAAAGATCGCTTATGATCACGAACTTCAATGTGCGTAACTTTCAAATAGTTGATCAGAGGAATCGAAAAGCATTCATTGAGAAACGAGTGAGTAGGGGAAACCAAAACTTCATCAAGATCCGCCTCGCAGTGAGACTGGAGCTGTGTAAAACACGAACATGCGAGAGGCCAAACAAACAGCAAAAGAAACAGACAAAATATAGTTCAAACTCTTTCGGCTTATAGAATCAACGAAATCTCGTACTTGAACTTGAACGGAAACAGAGCCACATTCGAAAACATTCAAGGGAAAGAGAATAGGAATCCGCTACTTCATCTGGGTACTACTGGGCATGCGAGCCCCGTCAGCACCCACAGATCAAAACCCAATAAAAAATATATATACACACATAAATTCATCTTTTCCATTTACTTCGAAAAGCATAATTTCATTACAAATAGATAATTCTATTATGGTCTCTCCTCAGAACAAAGGTGTCATAGGTCTGAATCCTGCCACCTTTTCTTTCCTTGATTTTCCATGATGCCCTTTTGTTTTTTTGTTTTGTTTGGTTTTTTTTTCCAACTTCTTAAAATATATATATAAACACTGTAAAATGAAAAATTAAGACTTTTGAATCTCTAATGTACCCACATCTTTAATTAATTGGTTTTTTTTTTCTTTCTGAGGCTCGTCAAACTTGAGATAAATTAGCCTAATCAAATCTTGTTCTTCATTTTCTTCTCGGTCTTATCTATGGAGCTCTCTCCCTCTTAAAGATTTATAGGAACTCGAGTCTTATTTCCTCTTATTCGAGTTATGGATCCAATTGAATTTCGCAACGTATCCAAATCTGTTCCGGTTCGGTTCCACCTTCTTTCTTCACTTCTTCTTATTTCTTTGCTTTTCCTTCGGCTTCTTTTTCTCTTTTTTGTTTTTGTTTTTCCATTTCTTCAGCTTTTATACTTCTAAACAAAAACATTGCGTTTGCAGTTTGCACGAATAATACTGTTGTAATAAAATAATTTAGAAGATAATTTTATTTGATCCACATCAATTTAAATTTATTATTGTGTCATTATCTCTAAAAGAATAAGAAAAAATAAGTGTTGCAATCCCCACCTTAAAACTTTAGAAATAGTAAAACTTTTTACATTCTCATAAAAATTTGTTTGAGAATCCTTAAAAATTGAAAAAAAAAAGAAAGAGAAAAATGGTATTCCACGTGTGCCCAATAAATTATAGAAGGGTTTTTTTAAATAAAAAATTCTATAAAATTTTAACGACATATTTAATAGTTGATTTTGTGCATTAATCCAACTTAATTTCATAAAAATTTTGATTTCCATTAAATTAATGAAAATTTGGAGTTTTTTTTTACCTTATATATTAATTTCCCTATAGTGGGTAAATTAGAGAAAATTGATAAGAGAGTACAAATTGCACTACTCTAAATTTAAGGTCTAATTTTGTAAGATTGAAAATTTATGGTGAAAATTGATATAGCTTGTCAAGTTTATGTGTGAAATTCGATTTTCTCATAAAAATAATTTCTACATTTTTGTTATATTACGTTATGTTTGAACTTTTTTTTATTTTACTATTATTATTATTATTATTATTTTGCCCTTATATATCTTTGTATAATTTTATAGAAGATAATTATAGGGAAATTAATATAACCCATAGATTTTACCTTAGATGTAACCCCACACAAATGAACGCAAAAATAAATTTTTTTGAAACAATCATTTTGCATATTTTCCTTATGGACTACAATTCATTAATATACTAAAAAAATTATTTTAAAAAAAATCTAAAAAAATTATTTTTTTAATTAATTTTCCGACATGGTGGACTCAAACTTAGATCTTGGATATCAAGACTCAGACCTCATACCATTATGCCAACACCGTAGGTATTGGTTCAATAAGAGGGAGTCGCAATATAAATGTGGTAGTTATGAATATATGTTTCTTTTTTGAAGTGTGTTATGAATATAATTAATATGCATAGTTAGGTACTATATTTTTTTTTAATTTCTCTCTTAGGAATCTAATGATGTAAAATCAAAATTGTTTGGTACAACTTACGACTATACTGGATAATATTGTGAAGAGAAGAGAGATAAGAATGCTATTTTAATAAGAAATTGAAAAAAATGATATCAACCGAGCCTAATTTAATTGATTGAGGTAGAAAAAAAAGGGAGTCAGAATGATATCGAACATTTTTTTTCTTCCAAATTAGAAACAAAAATAGGAAACTAACAAATCAGAATTATATCAAATAAGAACTCTCGTGTGTGTGTGTGTGTATATAAATAATGTGTGTGATTTGTAATGTTTTTAAAAATTAAAATTATTGAAATTACGTACATACGATTTCCTTTTTTAGATTTACGTACATAGCAAAAGTTTTTACTTTTTTAAACTGGTGTTTTTTTTAGCTTTCGAAAAATGTATATTATCTTTTTTTTTTCAACAGTTTTGCTATGTAATCTATTATTACTATTTTCGAAATTTGGCTATTTATATATGTTAGATTTTCATTCGTCTTATTAAGTTTTATGTTTTTAATTCCTTTTGAAATTTTAGGTCATATCAAAATAAATATTTAAAAACTACTGATTGGAAATTTTATAAAATGTTTTCCGAACATAACGAGTTTAGAAATGATATATATATCATTCAAATTCTAAAATTAAGTAACACTAGGTAAGGTTAGCCTATAAAATAGTCTTTAAAAACAAATTTAAAATTTATCTCCAAACATAACCAATTTATAGGTGACATACCATTAGGTAAGGTTAGCCTTCAAATTAGTCTTTAGAAACAAATTTAAAATGTATCCCAAAGCATAACCCGTCTAGGAATGATATATATTTGAATTAAGTAAAATTAAGTAGTAAATGACATATACATAGTAATCAGCATCTATCCCTAGAAGTTCAAGCTCTCGTCTCTCCAATTTATTGTACTAAAAAATGGTAAATGATATTGATAACCACTTTTTATAGTCTTGCTCAAAATCTCAACCTTGGTCATAAATAAGGAGGTCGACGATTTTCTCCGAGATTAAGTTTATTATCTGTGCCTCCTGCTCTCCAAACAGTATGGGAGTTTTTCAACTCGGCGGAAACTACCTCAGCTCCCAACTCTTATGGAGAATGTATTGAGTCTTTTTGTTGATTTGATGATCTACTAGTCGGATTTTAAAATCTAATTATCTAAAAAAAACACATTATTAAATACATCTTTCATTTATCTTCGAGAAAATTATTAAATTTTAAAGATGTTGACTTTCATATTCCCATCTCGAAACTAAAATGGTAAAGGAAAAAAAAAACCTCTACCGAAAATAATTACTGATTATTTGATTAGGAAAATTTCCGTGAATCATCTGTCCATTTAAAAGAAAAATAAAGTGAAAATCTCTTTTATTTTATTTTTGGTACGAATAAAGTTGAGAATCAGAGGTGAGATTGAGAAGGAATTTTGGTTAATAGAATAATATATAATCGAGGCTTCAGTCCCGAAGGCTGTATCTATAAACGCATAAAAAAAGAAAACCCTAAAAAATAGAAATTTTAAAATCGGTGCTTTAAATTGAGTTTCGTCGTCCCCTGGTTCTCTCATTCTCCAGTTCTGTAACTTCCTTCCCAACTCCTCACTCTTTTCATCTTCTTCCCTCCCTCAACTTCACTCCTCCTTCAACCGAAAATCTCACATTTCTTCAGAAGAAACAAGAATCTTGATATTGAAGTCTCTCCTGTTTCTCAGTTCTGTTTTTGGATGGATTCACTGGAAACTCCTCCTCCGCCACTTTCAGCAGCGTCCAACATGGCGGTCGGAGGACAAACGGCGTATTCGGCGGCCATGTCCAACGCTAACAACAATGCCTCCTCCACGATTGGTCTAAATCCGACTACCACTCAGATGATGGCACCTGCACCGCGATTCCCGTTCAACTCTGTGATCGCCCCTGCATCCGTGCCTTTGGATTCACTCAATGTTACTCCCTACGACGGATCGCATTCCGGCACGTTCAACATTGATTCCGGGAAGAAAAAGAGAGGCCGGCCCAGGAAGTACACGCCCGATGGTAACATTGCTTTGGGATTGGCACCTACCACCGTTGCGTCTTCTGTTGGTCACGGGGATTTAACCGCAACTCCTGATTCTGAACAGCCGGCCAAGAAAGCCAGGGGAAGACCGCCCGGCTCCGGAAAGAAGCAGATGAATGCTCATGGTATCGTAAATTGATTTACTGTATCGTTTTCTTGGTTGTAACTGCTTTTTTGTCATGTGTATTGATAGTATCCGGGAATTTTGTTCGGCAGGTTCAGGCGGTATTGGTTTTACTCCTCACGTTGTATTGGTGAAACCTGGAGAGGTGCGTATTTTTTTTTTTCGAATTGTTGGATTTTCTTTTTACACATTCCTTGACATTTGAAAGATGGTTCGTTTTAAAGTGATCTTCAGTTTAAGTCGTTGAAGGTTTACCGCATTTATTAAAATGATTGTAATGAGCGTAAAATAACGTGTCATAATTGGAAAAATGATGCAGCAGTTGCCTGTTTCTGTTTCTAGTTCTAAGAAAACTACGGATTTGGTGTTAAACTACATTCAGATTCAGAATAAGAATATATGGTATGTGGTGTTGTATTAAATGGGATATGGGTTTCTGTATGTCTTTGGCAGGTTCACTATGATTATATCCAATATAGTAAAAGCTAAAGAGCAGCTTTTCTGGGAAAATTTGACATTCCTGAATTTATCTGTTCGCTCTGCTGATATCTCCAACCAAAGACCGACAAATAATTTCCTCTTCCTCATATATTCTTTTGACTTCTAATGAGAAATCTATTCAAGTTTCTTGATTGATTGTAGAACCCAAATATCCTTGACTTTGATGTTGACAAATAATAGTTTTAACTATTATCTATAAATTATGGTGGCGACTACTGAAAACTTAACATAAAAAAGTGAACCTTGTAGTTGTGTAATCAGAGCAACTATCTTGTGAACACAGCATTCTATGAGGTAGAAGTTTCCATGCTTGCAAATTGCGTTAAATGAATAAGCATGAAACAAATTGTACGTCATTGATGTAGTTTTGTTGTTTTGGAGATGTAAATTTGCTGTTATAAACATCAGAATGAATATCCTGTAACCTGCAACATGATTTTAAGATTTTCATTGTTCCTCTTAGCTTTGCATTAACTTACCCACTCTCAGTTGTCCTTTTTTCCTTCTTGAGATCTTTCATCAGTGGTTGGGACTTCTATTTATGAAATTGTACTTTGTAGTTTTGTTGTTGTTGTTTTTTTGTATCGATGATGATGAAACAATTAGCCATTGCAGCTGGCTTCTTGCTGCGTATTTGTAACTTGAAATAAGTATCCAACGCTTGGCCCTTATAAATTGGCACGAGAATTTGGAGGTTTTTAACCCAAAATTGGTGTTTCCTAGGATCATCTCGAGTTTCTTCTCATTGAGGCTGACAGGCCATCTTCTCAAGTTTAAAACATAAGTTCTCTTGCTTAACAGAGTCAACTGTATTTCTCTGGGAAACTTTGTTGGAAAGGAATTGGTGAGTTTTGAAGATTATTGAAAGGAATTATCCGTTTCATGAGATGCACATTGTTTTTCGTTTCCTCTTCTTGGGTTTATATGGATAATTCTTTTTGTCACTGTGATCTTGATAGACAAGAGAAACAGATATTCCCTTGGTTTGCACCAGTTGGAGGAATTTTTTGTAACCCATTTGGTATTTGTGAGCTTGTTATTTATGAATGAGATTATTCTGGTAAAAGGAAATCTGTAAACATGGCCATAACCTATCTCTAATATGTCATTAGTTTGTAATTGCATGTATCACATGAGTATTTAGGTGAGGATGCCAACAAGTCTTAAGGTTCCTCTTCTCTATTTTAGTTGAGCACTGCTGATAAAAGCTCTATTTTAGTTGAAACTCATTGGTCGAAATATTGGTTCCTTGATGTATGGTTGCAGGATGTTGCAGCCAAAATTGTGTCCTTCACACAGCAAGGACCCCGAGCTGTCTTTATTCTCTCTGCAAATGGTACCGTCAGTAGTGCTACCCTTCGACACCCAGCTACATCTGGTGGTTCCGTGACATATGAGGTACTTCTAATTTTTTTTTTGTATTATCTAACTGATTGACTTTTCTGCATGGATAGGATTACTAATGTCTTACCCATATCTAATTTTGACCTCTTTGAATTAGTCATTAACTCATATGTAAACTTGAAGCCTACTATTGATATCCAATCTAAGCTATCTAACCGATTATATGAACCTTGAATGGGCAAATGGTTAATCGTTCAATTGTTAATGTATTCAGTTAGTATAATATTTGTTTCCTGTAGATAATAAGTACATACTCCCCCCACCCACATATGCAGTCCTTTTCTGTTCAGACTTCAGATTTTGTAGAGAATCAGTGACTCATAGGGCAGTGTTTCAAGGGCCAGGCAGGAGCCAAATGTACCTGCAAAGTGCATCCACTTTTGTGTTCCTCCCCATGAATGAGTAATATATTTTCATGCCTAAGAGTGTCTAGCACTTCGAAAATGTGGCTTCAAAAACTTAATAAATGGTAAGAGGTGGTGATCAAATAATGTGAGTTTTTGGAACTCCGACAGTGAATACTAGGATCCTTATTGAATTCTTGCAGTGAATTGAGAACGCATCTGATAATTTTCCAGACTTGAAGTAACCACCTTTCTTCATTGACGTGATTAAGAATTAAGCTATGGTTTAAGATATCCGTAAGATATTTTACAAGATGGACAGATGAAATTAAAAAGGGCTTGGTCCATATGTGAAGATGGGCCAAGTGGCCTTTTGTGGAATGGCTTTCAGTTTCAACAGTTTCTGATGACACAGCGCACTCGGTTCACATAAGGAGAACTAAGCAATGGAAAGAATAAAAAAGGAACAAGTAATCCTGAACTCCTAAACAATTGATCTTTCCCGAAGAAATTAAATAGGTGCCACTTGATATAAGAGAATATGAAAACAGATGATTCTCAGAGAGAACTGTGGTAACTCGTAAGATAACCAGAAAACTAGAAAGTATAGAGTTCATCACAATATAACCTCACGATTTTATTTATGGAACTCATACAAATGTAAATTGAACTTGAGGTGGGGCAGGTGCAATATGTTCTACATCGAGTATGAGATCAGTTCCTTGTGAAAATTGTGACAACCTTATGCAGATTCAGTACGAGATCAATAATTCTAAATGTAGGCATTTATCTAATCTTATGCAGGGCCAGTATGAGATCATCTCTCTATCAGGCTCCTTTTTGCTTTCGGAAAATAATGGAACTCGAAGTAGAACAGGTGGCTTGAGTGTGCTGCTGGCTGGGTCAGACGGACAGGTTCTTGGAGGTGGAGTTGCAGGAATGCTAATGGCAGGTTCCCAAGTACAGGTACTACCTCTCACTTGGATATCTTCACTTCAAAGTGACTGTTAACACTCAGATGTTATGCCCAAAGCGCGTTAGAGGCGTAAATGTACTTGTAGGAAACTGTGATGAGTAAACAAAACTAAATTTCATAAATTTTATTGCTTTGTCAGTTGATTGTGGGAAGTTTCCTCGAGGATGATAAAAAATCCAACTCAAGTATGCTGAATTCTGCATCTTCTGCTGGACCACCCCAAATGATAAACTTTGGTGCACCAGCAGCAACAGCGGCCAGCCCTCCATCGTTAGGGGCATCGAGCGGCGAGTCTTCTGCCGAAAATGGAGACAGCCCTCTTAATAGGCATCCTGGAATGTTCAACAATACCAGCCAGCCGATCAACGTGCAGATGTACCACCATTTATGGGCAGGGCAAACACAGCAGTGAGAGGAGGAGGGGGAGGACCATTTCGCAACTAACAGTAAAGAGCATTAGAATGCTCTGCAATATTCAACATCGTTTTGTGAATCTAACTATGGCAGTTAATTACCAAAAGCATATGATAGAGGGGCTTGTGTTTATTTATTTTAGGTTAGATTTAACAATATTTCCGCCTTGCTGTCTGGTTTTCTCCTCGCACTGAAGCATGGCTAACGAGTCCCCCCATAATATATGATAAAATAATTCGAGATTTTACCATCTTCAGAAATTACAGAGCCGCAAAGGCAAAAAGCCTGTGAACTTTTATATTCTAACACACACTACCATAACATAACATCTTGCATTACATATTATGGTGTTTAGACAAGTACTTTAGCAAGGCTATATATGAAAACTAAATAAAAGACGCTCAACACGAATATTTTGTCAAAATTTTTAATTTAGTCAATTCAAGTACCTTCATAAAGGTAAATAGGGTATGTATTACCTTCATAAAGGTGGAAAGTACAATTTCTCACTCTCACAGAGTATTGAATTAAAAGAAAAATTACTTTCAATTTAGTACTAAGGTTGAAAACATTAAATAAAGATAGGTAATAAATACTTTAACCAATTAAATTAAGTTATGTTTACTATTTAGATTGGTAATTTTTCTGATCTAATAAGAGGTTAGATTGTTACTTCTATGCCTTTCGAAAATAAAATATTGAGTCGGTAGTAACTTAAATATATGACATGTTAAAAGTGGAGGTAAAATACCAATACTTTACAAAATTTTAAGATTAAAACAAAAGTGTGCTTTAAATTGGTAGTTCTTTTAATAAATCTTTTATTCTTCCAAAACAAGGGAACCGCTAAGATTTTTGTATCTAGCGAAAATTTTGGAATTACGATTTAATGTATGTGTTTTAACTTTCCAGCATAGTTGCCAGTTGCCACTGCCAGTGAAACAACGTGTCAAAAATAAATTTAAAATTAAACTTAAATTGGGGAAATGAGAAAATAAAAGGAAAAAAATCGTCGACAGCAGGGTTCGAACCTGCGCGGGCGAAGCCCAACAGATTTCAAGTCTGTCTCCTTAACCACTCGGACATATCGACTTGTTGTGCAAAAAGGCTAAAACAAATAAATATAAATATACCACCGACACTGAAACTGAAAGCCGTGCAAAGGCCGCGTTGTTGGTGGTGGGTGAATAAAGACGAAGGCCGACACCGAAAACCAACCATTCCTTTGAAAATGTCACTCCCTCACCTCACCTACTTTATTTTACTTTCTTTTCCCAAAAAGTTGCTTACCACCCTTTTAATTCACTTTCCATATTATTTTAATTACATCTTACTCTTTCTACTCCATTACTTCATCAAGATTTATTTATTTAATTCTTGTGTTTCTAATACACATCTTATTTAACTATGTCCCTTCCTTTTACCCAAAAAAAAATTTACACCAATGAAGGATGTTGCCCGTCGTCTAATATTTTTCTATTTAGTTCATATGGTTTAAAAAGATTTTAATAGACTCTGTAACTTTTGAACATATTATGTCGTCGTTAACTCCATTATTTCGATGATTTTGCCACCAAACACTTGAATTTGTGTCTACCAAGAGCTTCAACTCACCCAAAATCACTCTACGGCCATGTGTAATACTTAAACATTACGTCATAATGTCACAAAATACATTAAACATTTGAGGTGCAAGCTCACCTTCTTAAACCAAAGAATTCCAAGTCAGGTAAGGGTTATATGCAAATATATGTCGAAAGAGTAGTATTTTTTTTAACAAATTTGTAGAACGAATCCTAGACTTAGACAAACTTACAAACCAAAAGTTGAATGTCAAAAGAAAAGGAAAACTCAAACCATCAAAACTTATAATATAACACCATAGTTAGAGCATCTAAAGAGCACCCCAAGCCAAATGGACCACAAATTGATTATTAATCCCAAAGCAATAATAGCTCCAAATCCCAAAAGTAGCAATAAGTCAAATCAAGACTCTGTCTTGGCCCTACCCTCTAAACCGAGTCGGCAACGGCTAATTCCCAAATTCCCAACTCCAAATTAGAACTTAACTTCGATGTTACCTATACAACTACAACTTCAACGTCAAAATTCTTCTTCTCTTCAACGGATCCTTCTCCTTCTTCTTCCATTAGACCATTTCACAGAGACCCTTTCAACCCCACCAATTAAAAAGAGAAGAAAACCCATCTTTTTTCTATATAAATAAATACTTGGTTCTTAAAAAAAAAAAAAAATCCCATATCTGATATCACCAATTCTCCACCCAATGGATTGCTTGGTCCTCCCCTGCCACGCCATGAAGAGACGCCGCCCACGCCGTGCCGTCGGTTACCGCCGCCTCAAAGACTCCGGGCCGGAGAGTCCGGTGACGGTGGTGGTGGGGAAGGAAAAGAGGGTGTTTTTGGTGGACCCTTTTGTGTTGGAACAGAATCCATTCAGAGTTCTGATGCAGACCCAGAAGAGGGAAAGTGAAACCCATCATTCAGATGATGATGATGATGAGTGGAGAAGAAGAAGAACGAGAAGAAGAAGGAGGAGGGTGATTCTTGTTGATGTTGATGCCATTTTGTTCGAGCATTTGCTGTGGCTCTTGTACAACGATTCTCCTTCTTTGTTTAATCTCAATGTTGAGGAAATTCTTGAATTTTATGCTCTAGATTGTTAATTAGTTATTTTCCTTGCACACACACACACAAAATTTAGAATTCAATTCAAGCTATTGAAGCCTCTACCTATGGTGTTCATAAATCATATATATGATGGAAATTATACAAAAACAGAAATAAAAGATTGATTTTTTTAAATTTTCTATTTCTCTTTTTATGTTTGTTTTAGTGTTGGGTTGTAAATGGAATTTGTATAACGTATTCAGCTAAAAGGAAGAAATAAAAAGAAAAAAAAATTCTCTAAGTGTCCATTTTCCATTTTATTTGAATGTTGGTATTTTTGGATTGGATATATGAAGTTGAAACTTCAACCTTCGAATGAGCAATTAGAGGGTTAATTCCGGTATAAAATAAATGAGATCCACAAGCTCATACGTCGGGCCCAGCAATTCAATATTAAGCCCATTGTTCTTTGAAATGGGCTTTAGTATTAGACTTTAGAAAGCCCAATCAAACACCCATTTGGTTCACAGATCGCTCCAATTTTCTCATTTTTCCATTCGTTACATTAAATTATTTTTCAAAAAGTGTAATTGTGAAAAATATCCTATTTCTTCACCAAAATATGTTGGTTGATTTCATGTTCGTGGTTAACAAATGACGAACACGAGTGCTGGTTAGAGATTAAACAAAATCGATTTTCAAAGTTCAGAAACATAAATGTTACTCAAAAGTTAATTTCTTTTCTAATACCAAATTAAGGAAAATAATGAATATTAGATATGACCTCGAGTCAATATCAACCAAATCTGAGAGATTATATTTAGACTTAAAAATTTATTTTAAAATAAGAGGGGAGGTTACATATAAGAAAACAACAAAATCTAAGATAAGCATCAACATTTATCGATAAGACGTTGATGGGTCATTTTTCCTTTGTAAAGTAATAATAATAAAATAATTATAAAAAAAAAAAGAAAAAGAAAGTGTTTTGTTTAATGAAAGGGTAAGTTTCTCAAAAGTCTCAATGCTAAAAAAGGGTGTTTTGGGCATGTGTTCTATGATAAATTTTCTATGATGCTTCTTTTCAATTTTATGAGTTATAAGCCATCTTTTGGAGAGTTTGCTTTTACCCAAATGCGTGCTTTGTATGAGCATGGAATGAATCATCTACTCAACCTATGGTGCTTTCTTTTCCACATCACGCCCACCAATGCTATTACTTTCGAGTAAGGGGACGGATGGGGAGAAGAAAAGTATGTACACTCTTAGTTTGTCGTAATTCAAGAAGTATATATATAAAATAAGTTTTCTCTCATTGTTTGTCCCAAATACTTAAAATGAAAGTAAAAAGTTATAAGGTAAAATTTTACTAGTAACCACGTATTTTGAGTCTTTTAAAAATTGAGAGCTCATGATTAATTTTTATAATATAGCCTCTAGAGCTTATATTTACGTTAAAGGGAAATTTATTTTAAAAGGAGTGTTTTTTTTTTTTTTGAAAGGGAAAATGTGTTTAATCAAATAGAAGAGGGAAGGCAAACATTTGAGCAGCATATTTTTAAGGAGTTTTGGATAGTTATTGGGTGCGTGGATGTCTGTATTCTCGTATTTCTTATTTTATACAAAGTTTTACCATATGGTTATATATAGATATCTCAAGTGTATCCTAAATGCAGTTAAATATATATATGATAAGATTATTTTGAGGATGTCTTATCTCTCTCATATGAAATCCTCTAATTCTATCTCAATGTTTTTTAAAGTTAAATTATATGTATAAAATACCTTTTATGTGGTTGGTTTGAATTTTGCCCTTCACATTTTAAAAATTATAATTTTATCTCTGTTTTAACTTTATTTTAGACGAACCGTCCTTAACAACTTCTGTTAAAAAAATACCCAACAACCAAAGTGAGCATAACATTAGCGATAATTGCTGTATGCTTCCAACTAAGAGGTTGTGAGTTCAAATTCCCTCCCAAACATGGTACTAAAAAAAATACCCAACATGTATTAAGAAATTGTGGCATAATTAAAATTACTTTTCAAATATTATGGAGAAAAATGGTTAACTAGAGTTTGAATTCAAATATCCAATTTTTTCGTCAACGAAATATACTTTAATTAACCAGTTGAGTTATTATTTTTAAGTTGGCAAAAAGTAAAACCAATCACATACATTATAATAATAATGATATTTTTGTATAACTTTTCAAATCTTGTAAACATCAACACAATTTTAAAGTATAATCATATTTATCTACGAAATTTGAATGGATACAGAAACAAACATAATTATCCTTTCATCCCCAAATACTCATATATCTCGATTTTTAGCATTCAGATATTTTAAGATAAATGACTACTAAGATAAGTTTTCATGCAATAATAATGATTAATGATTAATGAATTTTTAGAAAAATAATTCTATATTTTTAATTTAAAGAATTGCATATTATATTTAACAATTATTTCTACAAAAAATACATAACTCTAAGTACTTCAAAAACCACGAGGTACCAAAATCAAATATTCATTCTTCGTTTCTCAACTCAAAATTTGGGGGTAGNTATGGAGAAAAATTGTACATGTAGTTTAAGTTATGTTTTAAAATTTTATCTACAAAATAATCTTTTATAAAGATTATACATAAATAAAGATATATAGATTTAGAACAAACTAATTTAGGAATTAAATTTATCACTAATTGACACTAGTCTTTAACAAATATATAATTATAAGAGAATCTCTTCTTTTTCATAAGTTTCATTAAGTCTCAACTAATGATAATTAGACTATCTCTAGTATACTCCTCTGAAAACTAGAATTATTCTCATTTAGATCTTATAATTTTTTATATTTGCCAAAACTTTATCATTTTCACTCATCAATTAACAAATATGATCATATATCATATATTTTATACATAACAATCTCAATATGGTTTATACTCATCTTGAAGTGATTGCCCTAATTAATATGCATGAAATTATTAATTGTACAATCAGTAATTTTTTTTTCTTTGGATTAAGAGACACACAGCAGAACAATATCATATATAATATGCTTCAGATATGTATTTTATGAATGGATAACAAGGGGTTGTTGACAAAAGAGTTGATCTGGAAAGCATAATCTAAGGACTTAAAGTTTTTAAATTATTAATGAGGGAAAATGTTTACCTGTATTGATGTACCTAAAACAACTTAATTAGAAACACAAATTTATATATGTTATCAAACCCTAAAAGATTATCTTCAAGCAATTCTTATATACACAATTAATGTGGGAAAAATATGATTATTATATGCAGATGATTTGGGAGAGGAAAGAAATAAAAGGGATAACAAAATTAAACTTGATCAAACTCTTGAAAATAATCTCAATTATCCAACCTTTAATTTTAATCATGGCTCAAAACACTTGATTAAAGTTAGTTTTGTATCTTTCAATATGAATAAAAGAAGAACATACAGATTATTGGGTAGAGAGGGAGAGAGATCAGAGATGAACAAGTGGTCATGTTATTGAAAATCTGAACCCTTAAACCATATTGGTTTTGAGGGAGATATATCAGATTAAGAGTTTCACCATATTTAAGCATCAAATTAAGGAAGAGTTTCCCAGAAACCATACACAGATTCAAAGCACAAAAGATGAACAAGAAGGATAAAAATGAACTAAAATATTCATAAAGAAGAAGTAATATATATAGTGGAAATATTCATATGAGAGAGCATTAATTGAATTTCCATGAAATCTTCTGAAAGTTCTGACCTTGAATTCGGAATCTTCCATGAACCACCCAGAGAGAGAGACCAATATTTGTAAAACAGAAGATTGTTGGTAATTTTCAGAATGGTAGCTGAATTTGGTTCTGCATATTTAGGGGCAAATTTAAGAAAGGAAGCCCGGAGGATGGATCTGGAAAAGGGTTGTTTCCGCCACTGCTGCCACCGATGCCGCCGCCCTGAGACGTGGGCGGCTGCATCTGAAGTTGTTCTTGATCTTGATCTTCTTCTTGTTCTTCCAATGGCAATCTCTCGTAGGCTACGTTTGTAAACGAAGCCGCGATGATCGTCACTGGCCCCGCTGCCATC